GAAAGATGGAGGGTTTTGGCGTGAATTGTTGTCCCGGAGCTAAAACAGAATGGAGAGGAGAGGAACGGGCGATTTCTTCGACCACTCGTCGAGATGACAACGGCGGAAGATGAGATTTTTTCTTTGTTTGTTATTTTTCTCTCATTTTTCATGTAATATTGAACCCTACTAATCTTTGTGAGTTTGGGCTGCGCATGGGCTGTGCTTATCTGAGGAGGTCTACCCAATGATAATATCAAAATTATCTTTTTATCTTACTTTTAGCAGTATCTCTGTATATGTTAATATAAGAAGAAACGGAATTAAATATAAAATATTAATATATTTTTTAAAATTATAACGATCAAAATATTAAATATAATTATATATATATATATAATTATCCGTTAAGCGTAAATTTCAACCGAGACGGTGGCTTTACATCACGGAATAGACTCGTAGGGTGAAGATTTGATTCATTTAGATAATAGGAAATATAGAGTTCAACTCAGAGATGTGACACGGAAAGCACGCTTGGCATGCGCGTCGGGAATGAACCGAGTCGGAGGGAGTTGAGCGAGCTGTCACGAACCGCATGAGTGCGACATCCGTGATTTGGACAAGGAAAATTTGGACTGCTGGTGGCCAGATTTTTCCTCGAGCAAGAGCGACATTTGTTTAATTGAATGTATGAGTTGCCCTTTGTATTTAGAAATGGGGCACTTGTTAGGTAACCCGTCTACATGATAAATACAAAGCCCTTAGATCGAAGGCGACTACTACTTGCTTACTACCTATGGCAAATGATGTTATTATTTTATCTTTAATGAAACTAAAGTTAGTAATTAATCGCTACCAAAGAAAGTGTTTTTTGTCGAGCATTTCCAGTGAGACCACTACCATGGAACGAAACACAGAGTCTTAAAGCCTGACCAGAAGATACTTCAGATTTAGGACAGGAAGAATTGAAACATTGATTATATCCTACTCCATAGCTCCAATTGAAGGCTAAGGTCATGTATTTATGAACATGGATTAAGGCCACCTACTGGTGAACAATATTCACAAATGCATTGTTTTATAGTTGATATCGCACGTAACTTGCGATAGATAGTCCACTTATAGATGGCCTTGAGGTTCAAGTTTACTGATATTTTATATTGATTGTCCGATTTATCGATGTCAATCTTGGTTTTAGTTCAAGTTTGGTACTCGAAGATAAGTGGATTGGATAAAACATTATGCAAATATATATATATATATATATATATATATATATATATATATATATATATATATATATATATATATATATATATATATATATATATCGAGAGTATAGTTGAGAAAGATTTCTCTATTACATAACTCAATAAATTAGGATTTGAAGAATTTAGATAATTCTATGTCAATTAGCATCCTTGGGCTCTTTTATAAATGGCATTGGTAATCGTAGTGATTAAGCAGGGAGTTGATATGTGAGAGCGTTTTTACAAAATTTTTGAATGTTACTCGGACGTGAAGAGTTATCCACAACATTGGGAATTATGATTGTACCGTTATGTTGATCAATATGACTAGATGATACGGCATATTTTGGTAATATGTCTTCCAACATTGTTCACAGCTACATCAGTGTCAAGGTCAACGTACCAGACCGAACACCCCGGTCAACGTCGTCAGGCAAAGGTCAAATGGCACCGACCATGTACGGTGCCGTCCCATAAAGATCGAAACGGTACCAACCGAGTATCGTGCCATTCCGTAAAGATTGGGACAGCACCATCGAGTACCGTATCTTTTCGCAAAGATCAAGACAGCGTCGACCGAGTACTGTGGCGTCTCGCAAAGATCGAGACGACGCTGACCAAGTACCGTGTCGTCCTGCAAAGGTCGGACAGTGCCGGTCGAGTACCGTGTTGTTCCGCAAAGATCAGGACGGTACCGACCAAGTACTGTGTCGTCCCGCAAAGATCGAGACAATGACGATTGAGTACCATGTCGTCCTGCAAAGGTCGGACGGTGTCGATCGAGTATCGTGCCATTCCGCAAAGATCGGGACTACGCTGACCAAGTATCGTGTCGTTCGGCAAAGACTGGGACAGTGCCGACCGAGTACCATGTCATCTCGCAAAGATCGGGTCGACATTGACCTAATACAATGCCGTCCCGTAAAGACCAGGTCGACACCGACCTAGTACAATGTCGTCCCGGAAAGATCGAGTCGGCACCGACCTAGTACAACACCGTCCCACAAAGATCGAGTCAGCACTGAACAAGCATAGCGCTATCCTGCAAATATTAGGACGGTGCCGACCAAGTACAGCGCTGTCCTGTAAAGGTCGAGACGACACCGAGTACAACACCGAGTACAACACCCCTGCACAATGTCGTGACGCTGAAGACACCCAACATCCGCCCTAAGAATAAGTCCGATGTCCGGAGGGTCGGCAATCATAAATATGACAGGTATGACTGGTCCCTTGGCAAAGGGATAAAAACCCATCGCATCGCAGGGCCGACGACAGATGGTCTTTTGCTCATTTTTCACCTAGTTTTAACAAAATCTTCAGAGAAGTCGAAATCAGGAGCCCCCTTCCCGACCCCGACCTGTGTGCAGGGACCGGTGATAAAGAGGCAGGTGGCCAGCCAAGTGGAGTTTCCAGACTTTGAAGCCATAACCCAAGCCTGACTTCACTAGACGACGATCCCCGTTGCCCGAGCATCGACGTGGATGATCTTGGGCACCGGAACCGAATCAAGCCGTGCTGACTCCATTTGCCACAGCGTAAAGGATCACTATCACTAGATGTCCAAGTAAGTGTACAAACGATATGACATTCATATGTCTATATCTTAATTATCTTTTATCATCTATTTTTTATTGTATTTCAATAGATAAAGGATGTTAAAACATAATACCTCCAACGAACATTTTTGTCACATTATGAATGGTGGGTGTCAACAGGGTATTTTTAACTTATTAGAAGTGATGAATAGTCAAATTCATCACGTTGGAAGACTAAGGATGCTATATAATTGGATTCGGCTCCGTTTAAGTTTTTAGATACTTCATAGTCAAATTCAACTTAGAGATGACTGATTTGATTACATCAAATATTTGAGACACTTTGCAAACCATGTCTTTTTGATTGGAAGGATGTTGCTAGGTGGTCGTTACAACCACAGCTACGCTCATCGAACTACTTCATGGTCGAGATAGCCTTAGCTTTTGAGCGAGAAAGATGTTGCTTCGTCGCCAACCTGATCGTAACCGTGCTTTATCGAACTACTTCATGATCTCTGTGGCCAATATGACCTTAGCTGCCCGATATGGCTACAACTCTGGTACCAAAAGGATGCTGCTTCATCATTGATATGACCACAGCTACACTTATCGAACTGTTTCATGGTCGAGATAACTATAGCCCCTGCGCTACAAGGATGCTAACCACAGTTGTACTCGTGGAAACGCTTCGTGACCGAGATGACCACAACTCTTCGTTAGAAGGATGAAGCTTCCCTAACATGATCACGATTGCGCTTACTGAACTACTTCATGGCCGAGGTCGTCACAGCTTTTGTGTGATGATGTTGTTACTCGGTGGCCAAGCCGAGCGGGCATCGACATCGATCGAGGAAACACGAGGCAGACTTGGGCATGTTGTTGTTTGGAGATGTCACAGGCAACGTTTGGAGAGAGCTTGTTTTGTGCCAATAGCTACGTCTTTAAGATGGAAAAAGATGACACTCGAGGCATAAAATGTTGGAAACTCTATGGCTGGCTATTACAGCAGTCATTACGAGCCTTCTATCTTTGTTACTTAACAAACGACAAACGCTAATTACTTAACGAAAGATGTCACTTGAGTTTTTCTATGCGTGTGAATTGTAGAAAACCAAGGTTCACGTGAACCAGAGGCGACCAACCACGAAGGCAGTGCAACGTGCAGGGGATGTGCAGTCCTCTCATGGTCCTGCTTTAATGATGACCCTTTGCGTGGTGCTGTGGTCCTAAGGGGTTGGCTTCTGGGCTACCCTTTTCCACTTGGTCCAACATGCTTGTTGCATCTTTCCCTTTGCCCATTTCCTGCGATTCCAAAGATCACGTTACTGCTCCGTCGCCCATAACGGGATGCCCACAACACCCTCTTCACTCGATCCTTCGTCTCTCTCTCTCTCTCTCTCTGAGGATGATCCCGACCCATGCTTTTGGCTGCATTCTTGGCCAAATGATTACACTGAGTTTTCCTCTCTCTCTCTCTCTCTCTCTCTGAGGATGATCCCGACCCACGCTTATGGTCGCATTCTTGGCCAAATGATTACACTGAGTTTTCCTTACAATCGTCCTCGTGGTCCCTGTGAGCTTACAATGTGTTCTCCTTCTACCCATCCTGCAATTATTAAAGTGACGAATGAATTAATCTGAATCTGGCATGGCCATTGCCCATGAATCTGCCCTGAGGAAAAATAGAAAAGAAGCCGAAATCTCTATCGGTAAAGAAGAAGAAGAACATCTATCTTATCATTCAATCTATTTGCTCATTCACTGGCTTATCAATGACGGCAACGGATTTTGCATGTGGCTCTCTCCGAGCGTACCACGTCACTGCTTCAGCCGCCAGTACACCACTAGTCGGTGGGGGCCCTCCCTCGATCTAGGTGGTGACTTCTAAGCGGCCTCGTCGTAACATGCCTTGCTCAGCTAGCTAGTAGCATAAATTTCGGCTAGGGAAAAGGCCTGCATCTTCGGCCATTGACTTCAGACGACAGAGACCTCTCAGGGAACTACCATTCCCTTGGCTTGTCATGCGCTGCGGGGCCTTCGAATCATAACATTCCATTTCAAAAAAGAAAAATCACAACGTTCAATCATCTCAATTCCTTCATTCGTCATCATCATCATTATTGTTATCATCATCATCATCATTATTCTCTTCCGACCCATCATCTTTTCGCCTGCATCACCATCCGATGGACTATTGGAAATAGAAGAGCTCATCTTCTGCATTCATTCATTGTACGAATGATCTCCAGCGTCTATGAAAATAATTAAAAGCTGCAGCGGGAGGGACTCAAAGAATAAGCAAGAAGGAAGGGAAAGGCGCCTTGACTCCATTAAAACCGAGCTCTCGGAACTCCCATCCGGCCGCTGTGCTCCGTGCTTCCCAAGGCTACCGCTTTTTCCTTTTTTTTTTTTTAATGTTTTGCTTCCCAGAGGAAACGCCACACGAGAGAGAGAGAGAGTGTGTGTGTGTGTGTGTGTCAGTCGGAAACTTTCAAAGTTTGAAGAGATTGGAGTGACCGAGGAGGATGTTTCTCGCCACCCAAGCGATTTCCTTGAGGCTAGAGCACTGTCAGCATCAGCAGGATTAGCAGATCTTTTTCCCTTATCATCGCAATCTCTTGTCCCGGCCCGTTGTCATCTCACGGTCGACGAACTGCGTGGTGCTGGAACCGAGATTTTATAGCCGCTGGTAACTGCGAAGCGGAAGTGGAGATCCTCGGGGATTTCTCGTGGATATTTTTTTCTTATCCCTCGTAGATTTTTCATATTTTTCGTATTTTTTAGATAGTTGAGTTTTCGGTTCAAAGAATCAGTCGGCTCGTAGCCTCATTCTATCCTTTTTATCTATAGAGAGAAAAAAAAAGTAGAAGGAAGAGAGGGAGCTCTGGAAGTAGTCGATCAAAGTACTTCTCGAGCATTTTTAACGCAGTAAGCAGAGTCGTATTGATGTGAATCAGCATTAGAAGAGAAAAAGGCGACATCTTTCTTGAGGATGGAGCGATCTTTCTGAGTTGATGCGCTTCCACCACAAAAAAGAACAAAAAAAACGTAGGGGAAAGGTGGGGGTTGGGGAAGAAGCGAGAAAACGGAGGGTTCACATCAAGAACATTAAAAGATCGAGAAAGTCCCTCGTCTCCAAAGCCAAAAAGCCTTCCTTTAAAGCAGAGCGAGGCAGGAAGGAAAGGGGTGCAATAAAATGTCTCTTAAGGAAGCCAACCGAGGACGCTTTAGAACCAAGACAGGTAAGTAGCATAAATCTTCCCTAAACTAGTCCAAAAGGGTCGGTGTATGCAACAATAGCATCCCTTCCTCTAATATTTTCTCTCAAATGTCGGAATTTACTGGGCACCCCCTTTGCTCTCGATCAGGGTAGGCGTTTCCACGCTGTTGCTATCCACTGAACGCCTCCCTTTTCAATCCGAAGCTTGCGTTTTGAGAGACCGGCATACTCTAATGCCGAAGGTCTCGAACAAGTGGCCGAGGCCGAGCCAGTCCTCGCTCCAGAGGCGGGTGCTGCGTCATCCGGGACGGATATGGGTGCTCCTGATTCTCGGATCCCTTACGTTAAATCTGGTCATGATAGCCCTACTCGCCTCGCTATATGAGGGCGAGGGAACTCCGGGTTGCAAGGCAGAGAGGAGCATCCTTGTAGCGGAGGAGAAGAAGTCGGTCGTGGCGGCGCCGCAGCAGCAGTCAACAGCGGAGGAGCTGGTGTCGGCGGAGGAGATTAGCGTGAGCTCCACATCCGGAAAGCGCCCTGCCTCGAAGGATGCCATCATTAATCTCGACCAGTGAGTGATTTCGCAGCCTTTACTTACATAGTTTGATTTTATTAGATGAATGCAATGGGTCAGAAAATGAGAACAGAAATTTGTTCTCCAGCGCACCGCTGTGTCGGCCTTTTTGCCGCGGGCTTCTTTAAGAAAAAGGAAGACGACGATGACGAAAGTTCCCTTTTCATTTTATACTTTAATCCTGTGAAATATGTGATTGTTGGCATTGTCCGATCGCGTTAGTATTTGATTGCATTTCTTTTCCGGTTTTGTTCTTTTTATCATCATCTTCTTTCTGGTTAGGTCACAGTGGTGCTTCCTACGGTTGAAAAGCAGTTATTGCTGAGGGCCACAGGAGTTACCATTTCAAGTCCATCGTTTTACTATTCCCTGATCTCTTTCGAGTCCAAAGATTGTGTTTTGCAATATTCTTACCACATGCCTTGGGACTTTTTGTGAGAATCTTAATCGAGAAATGGGAGTGGGAGTGAAATCAGAACTGAAACTTGTTATCTTGCTTCAACTTTGACTTGCACAAGTGTTGCTTCCCACTACTTTAACACACTGTTTTACGGTGAACCAATGACCCAGTGGGGATCCAACCATGTTCGAGTCCTTCTGGAAGGAGATGGGAGAGCACGGGGACATCATCATCCCTGGGTGGCAGGCCATGAGCTACTTCTCCGATGTTACCAACTTGTGCTGGTTCTTGGAGCCCGAGTTTGCCAGTGAAGTACGGCGCCTCCATAACCTCGTCGGCAATGCTGTAGCTGATGGCCACTTTATCATCGTTGGGACTGGTTCCACTCAACTCTTTCAGGCTGCTCTATATGCTTTATCTCCCCCAGATGCACCCGAGCCAATGAGCGTCGTTTCTGCAGTTCCATACTATTCGGTGAGTTCCACTACATGCAACGCATATACCTAAGTCTAGATGTTCCTAGATTTACTAAGACTTTCTGGGGTCATTTTAAATACCACCATGAGGATAGTGATAGTTCCTTTAGTTAGTGGGCAGTGGCTCTATCAAATAATTCCCAGTAAACTAATCATATAAGCTTATTATATAGGCATCTGGATAGCAGTCCTGGGTCCTAAACACACATAGTTTTTGTGTAATGTAACCTTCTAAACACTTCTCTTTGCTTCTAGACTTCCTTGTATATTTTTATTTGCATGTGTTTTTAATTGAGAAATGTATATAGAAACTTCTTTTAACTGGTGTTTTTCATGTTCAGTCTCCCATCTCTTCTACTAACAAACTTCTACTAACTGTGGTAGTACTTCAGTTTTATATTGCAATGTTCTAAAGTTTCTCGTGTTTCAACAAGGGAAGTCAAGGTGCCAGGGTGCTTGCCTAGGCGCACGAACAAGGCGAGACTCAAGCACCTCAGTTTGGGTTTGGGCAAACGCCTTTAATTGGGCACGACCCATGCATGCACTTGAGCCCAAATGTCGGGTGCTTGTATCATATGATAGTCCCCCTCTCTTTCTCTTGTTCCTCCTCCCTCCTACCCGCCCAATCGATAGTCCCCCTATCCTTTCCTCTTATTGACCTCTCCCTATTTCTCCTCATACGACATACCCCGACCCCTTCCCTCCTTATCCTCCTCGATAGCTACCTTGCTTCTCTCTCTACCCCTTGCTTCTTCCCCACATGAATCATCCACAAGAAACTCCAAACAGGATCCAATGTAATATTTATGTCTTGTGGGAAAATAACTAGAGATGACATATCAAAACAACATCGAGCAGAGAAGTTCAAAAATGCAGATATGCAGAAATAAAAAGTGTGAAACTCGCTAGATGCATATATGAATGAGAAGTTCTAAAAGACTGAATTACATGGTTACCAAATTATCATGATATTGAGAATTTTGGAGATGATGCTGAAAAGGAAGTTGTTGTCAAGAAGTCAAAATTACATAAAATCCAATGGACTTGTACAGATTGCAAGAACCCGAAAAAGCCATGTAAAGTATAAAAGAGCAAAGGCAAATAAGTATAAATGATGTATGTGACAAAGAAGCAAGGGTTATAACAATTCAATAGTTGCTTTCTTCTTCTGTTAACTATTAAGGATGTATTCTTTTCAATGCGGCACGTTTAAACAACTTTAAATATATGATCAAAGCTATTGGAAGATATAAATTGAATATTCAAAGTTATCATGAGTTAAAAGTTTCATTATTGTAAAAGAGTTTGATTACACAAAATGGTTTGATGAAGTATAATAAGGATGTTAAAATAAAACATGAATTTTCTGTTATGTTGGATGCATGGACTGATAGGAGACAAAAAGGTATTAACTTTTGAACAATTGTTTATTAGGAACCATGTGTGTAAAATCAACTGCTATATCTTCTTTTATGAAATCGTTTATTTGAATTACTTACCAATTTGTAGAGTAGATTGGAGAGCAAAATATGACAGACGATGAAAGATGTCTTAAGTGGTATAATTTTTGCTTTAAGTGTTTTAATTATGTTATCTTTATATATTTAAACACAAATTTTATTTTTTTCCTTTTTCTAAGGTAAATTACTTTAGGAAAGAAAGGTTGCATTTATATTGGACTCCATGTACCATATCTTGGTGTTACATCAAAGGACATTGGAAAGATTCCAAATGCAAGAAGACCTCTAATTTTTGGTATTGCCTTTATATACAAACATATTGCAGCATTGAATATGATGCAAAAATTTACAAATAAGAAGGGATTAGTGAAATATAGTGTCACTCATTTTGCCACTATATTTTTGATATTGTAAAATATTTATATGCAAAAGTGTAATCTTATTACCTCAGAGAGGTGGGAGATAAACAAATGAGCAAAATATATTGAAGGCAAAAGAGTACGTGATATAATGTTGATACAATCTTTTGGAATTATATGGTTTATATGCATTAAAGTAATGGACCCTCTTGGTAGAGTTCTTCAACTTATAGATAACAAGAAAATCTTTTGGAATTATATGGTTTATATGCAATAAAAGTAATGGACCCTCTTGGTAGAGTTCTTCAACTTATGGATAACAAGAAAATCTTTTGGAATTATATGGTTTATACGCATTAAAAGTAATGGACCCTCTTGGTATAGTTCTTCAACTTATGGATAACAAGAAAAAGCTTGCAATGACACGCACACACATATGTGATTATGGATAGAGAGAAAGAAACAATATAAAAATCTTTTATAGGAAATAAGGAAAGATTTCTTTGTAATTAAAAATAAAATATGAGAATCTTCTTATCCATTACATGTAGCATGACAATATGTAAACACCTAAACACAAATTTCTTTTATAAAAACTCATATATTGAGTTTGATGTAGAAGTTACATACAAGGTATATCAATGTATTACAAGATTGGTACTTAACATTGAAGTTCAAGATAATACAACCAATGAATTATCTTTGTATAATCATGCTAAGTATCATTTTGGAATTCCAATAACAATTCAATCAAGAGCTACTAAGTTTTTGAATATTTAAGCATCATGTAAATATTAAATTATATTATTGTTAATTATTAAATATAAATCTGTAGTTGAGTGGTGGAGGCTATCTTGAAATTCTCGAAGATGAACAAACTTATTCTAGTGAAGATGAACAAGATCTTGAGGGATATAAATCAGCTTTGAGGAAGATGATGACAAGAGTGAGGATGTTGAGGATGATGAGCTGGCTAATCATTGACTTTCTTGAGCAAAATTCTTAGACTTTTAATATTAATCTTTTTTTGTTTTGTTATTTATGTTGTTAGATTTGGATAATGCAGTGTTTTGGTACTTTAAAGGAATGTGATTTGATGTTTTAGTGGTTATATTTGAAATATTACATAATATTAAACTCATGTATTGTCTCATTTTTATTTTGGTGATCATATTTCTCTTTAATTATATCTTTTATTTTGATATTCGCAATTGTCTTGCAGTGCTCTTGCGAGCACCTAGCAGCTCAGGCACTTTGGCACCTTTGACTATTGGATTCGGAGATCATTTGATTCTCAAACTCGATGGATTTCTTCTTTGTTAGGCTGATAGCTTGGCTATCTTGGAATGATTTCTACTAGATACTCATTTCTCTTCCAAATAATGCAGCAATTATACTCCAATAGATCTGATGAAATAGGGTACTAGTAATATGTCATGCACGAAACTTGCATAGATTAAAATAGGTTGTTTTCATTTTCCTGTTTCGATCAAGTTCATGAGTAATTAATAGGAGAATTTATATGTTGACTATACTTTACCAAATAATTGCAGTCATATCCAGCAGTCACGGATTATCTCCAGTCAGGGCTATACCGGTGGGCTGGGGATGCATCCATGTTCGATGGTGATGCTTACATAGAGTTGGTTTGCTCCCCGAATAATCCTGATGGCTCCATTAGGGAAGCAGTCCTGAAGTCTAGGAACGGAAAGACAATCCATGACCTAGCTTACTACTGGCCTCAGTACACTCCAATCACTGATGCGGCAGACCATGATATTATGCTGTTTACTGTGTCAAAGAGCACTGGTCATGCTGGGACTCGACTCGGGTAGACATCTTTCCCCTGTTTTTTCTTTTGTATAACATGTTGATCCTAATAATCTAGTTATGGTGATGAAAATTGTAAGCATGAATGAGCAGGTGGGCTCTAGTAAAAGACAAGAATGTTGCGAAGAGGATGATCAAGTTTATAGAGCTAAATACCATTGGGGTGTCAAAGGACTCACAGCTCCGTGCAGCAAAGATCCTTAAAGCAGTCTCAGATGGTTATGAGCTTCCAGTCTCTCAGAACAACCACAGGTTGTTTGATTTTGGTCGACAGCTTCTGTCGATCAGGTGGCAGAAGTTGGAAGAAGCAGTGAAGGCGTCTGACATCTTTAGTCTACCTGATTTCCCATTGGCCCTCTGCAAGTTCACTGGGGAGAAGACTGGAACCTACCCTGGTATGCTACTTATGTACCAGAAAATGCATATTTTCCTTCCAAAATTTGAAGCTAAAGATATGTTCGCTATCACAATTAAATCGATATAAACTAGAAGGGGGCTGGTGGAACATCTGTGAAACCAATTTGTTGCTTACTATTCCTATGAATTCAAGAACAACAAATCTGGCCTTCATAATGTATCTGAAGAAGATACAGAGCTCTCCTAGCAGCGCCAGCATACAATGTTAGATAGAGGCTCTACATCTTTGTCCAAGGTGAAAATTGCAGTCATTAGTATTCACTACAAAAAGATAGGGAGTCATTCCAAGTGTATATCTTAGTGTTTTTGTCAAATCCCAACAAAGCCTTTCCGGGTTTGCTTGTTGTTCATCATCACATCTCTTTTGTGCTAATGCTTCCTGTGATATTCATTTATTTTTCTTGTGGATGATACCCATAATGCTTAACGCCACATCTTTGTTGTGTGTTGTATAGCTTTTGCGTGGCTCAAATGTGAAAAGGAGGAAGTCGAAGACTGTGAAGACTTCTTAAGGAAGCACAACATACTTACTCGAAGCGGCAGGCATTTCGGTGTGGAACCAAAGTACGTGCGGATAAGCATGTTGGATCGCGATGAGACGTTCCACCTCTTCATCGAACGACTTTCAATGCTCCATCATTGAGTGTCCTTGTCTATCCCACTGCAGTTTTTGATAGTGGATTGTAAGTATATGCTGGAGCCCATAGCTGTTTCATCCTTTGGTTTTTTTTTTAGTTTATATATATATATATATATATATCTTTGCCTTTAGGTCTCCTGTCTTTGTATAAGATGATGATTTTTATTTTTATTTTGTATTATCCCAGTGTTCCTCTTCTTTTCTTTTCTTTTTTCCCCCCATTTTCACAACCTTTTAATCAGTTGTTTTGTTGCACTTTTATTGTCAAGTGAAAGGGAGGTCGAACATTTGGCTAGTGATGTTTTCAGCGTGGTCGCAGGTGAACCAACCACTTAAGGTAACCTCAAGCACATAGCTTCTTAGTCGAATCGGTTCATCCTCTCACAAGGAATGGATTGTAAATTGAATTTGTAGATAAGATTCGATGATCTTCTTATCTGTCGTTTGATATATATGACCATTGACAATTATCAGATCGAGTCACGTTTGGCTCCATCTGCCACAAGATTTACAGCAGCCCTACATTTAGTTCATTTTTTTGCCTACATGAGCTATATAAATAAAGGGTGTTTTTAGGTTTCTTGAGTTCTATTGATATATGAGCACTTTTTTTTTTCTTTTTTACTAATTGATTTCCTCACAGAGAACCATAACAAAGATACTTGTGAATGGATATTGATTGATAATTAGAAAATTATTTCCTTCATGTGCAAACTAGAGTTATATTTTCCTTTTACTAATTGTTTTCATGGAGATTGCAACATCTCAATTTAGTTCTATATCTAAAGTAAACTAGAACTTAGATTTTACAAAGGTTAGTTATTTCATTAGGTTAGGCCATAATTATTTGAAATATTATGATGTAGTGAGAGATTCAAATAAGAGAGGAGTATCTCTGAATTATTTGAATTGGGTTAGATAATACTAGTAGAGTCATCATTGGATTGGAATGTGAGAGGTAGCAGCAATGTGCATTTGTTATTCCAAATAGTATCTGACGTGCCTCAGTACGAAAGGCTATGTTGGGATGGGGGGTCAATCTTTTTTCTCTTCTCCAGAAACAACATAGGGGGACAGTTGCAGGAGATTGCTCTGTGATGGACGTCACCTCCCTCTCCTTCTGACATAGCCACAAGGACATCTCTCTTTCTTCTCATTCTCACCTTTGATTGATCTCTTGCTCACTAGGAGACAGGACTGCAATAGGATAGATATTATTCATGCATCCTCATGTCATGTAAAATCATGTAGGTTCCATGTACGCAACTTTACCCGGAAATAGTAAAATCAGTGACATTTGACCCAAAAAAAGAAAAACATAATGACATATATTTGCATATACTAATGGTTATCAAACACAAAAGAGAGTACGTGAAAGATATGACCTTAAATTGTATTTCTTTATCTTATTTTTATTTTAAAATTTTAACACCTATTTAGCGATGAGTATCATAATCTCGATTCAATCATATAATAATGCTTTGTCATTTGTTTGGCATAGCAAGACATCATGCATCATTATCATCTTGAAATCTTCAAAAAATTTAAGATTAGCATTGTCTTCTTATAAGACACCCACATACTACGTGAGTCCATATGTATTCGTTAATCACTAGGATTATCCTTAAGGATTATTATTTTAGATTGAATAACGAGTGAAAGAAAGTAGATAGATAGATAGTCAATTAACAAAGGAAATTAAGATTGTTATACTTCTCCCAAGCAACACTTTCTTTTCCTTATTGAAAATAAAATCAATTAATAAGTAAGTATTTTCTCATCCGAATGAATGAACGTAGGAGAAAATTTTTCTATTCTCCTTCCTCCTAATCTATATTAAAGTTAAAATTTCTTCAATAATTGTTCTTATCTTCTATTATTTTCATCATCATTAGTTACCTGATTACCCTCGATACCTTCTCTATATACATGTACAAATGTCAGAAATAGCATTTAACAGACTCCAAAAATGGTTTTTCTTTTGAGCATCCGAATCTGTATTCTGAATACGATTCAACGATAATCTTTCTCATTCTGTCATTGATTATAGCCTGTAAATCATCTTTGATTATACCATCTTTGCAGTAGACTATGTTCTTTTTATTTATAGGTTTATTCATGGTCCTGTAAGAATAAAAAAATTAGATTACCAGCATCATCACATAAAGCATAATAACCTCAACCATCAACGCTTCCAGAGCAGCACATAAAACATCCATCACAAACAGCACTTTCTTAAACATCGCTACATTCCGGCCGGATCGTGAAACAAGTGGATTCGCTTTGTTGACATTGGTTTCTGATTCGTGGTTATCCATCCCGGTTTAGCTTCATTTGACCAACTTCTCCAAAAGTAATCTGCCGGATGATGAAGTTTGGCTCTCATCTTGCCGGAAAGCTCAAGTTACACCACGCTTTACCAAGTGCCGCATCGTGCACGCGTAGTTCTGACGCGGCGGACGTAATCATAGTTCAATTTCCTGGGGATAAGGGAGCCCAATCCGTCGGCCGTCCTTTCTTTCTACGACAGTGATCGACGCATGATATAGAATAATAATAATAATAATAATAATAATAATAATGCAGTATTCTTTGATGGGATGATGGCGATCGGAAAATGAGAAGGAACCGCGTGGTGTCTGGCCCCTTCACCCAGTGTAAAACTGATCGAAATGAGCAAGAACAATACTGGACGATGTGGGACACGGTAAAATTGACCGGCTCGTTGAACGATCCGTGAACTATATGTCTGCCAGGAGCTCTGCTTCGGACAACCCTTTTGGAAGTCAACAAAGCTGTGGCCTATCTGTCCGATCAACCCATCGATGGTGATCGATTTCACCAACACATGCGACAGGACGTTGATAATAGAAACACCAAGCGGAATTAGGGATGTGGCGCCGGCCCATGCAGTTGGTCGTTCCCGCTCCTGGTCGGTCGGTTGGTGGTGGAGAACCTAAGACGGCGACCACCAGTCTTACTTAGCCTGTTTCCGATCGGAGGAGCAGTGACGGACAAGTACAGATGGAGTCGTCGCCTGAGGGAGAGATTTCGTTCAGCTTGTGTTTCTGGTGCCTCAGAAGTTGCAGCTTCTGAGCTGTTTGTTTCTTTTTCTTGTGTTGTTGGGTCAGATTTTTTTTCTTAGAGTACTTACACCTATTGGTCGCTTCTGATTTGCCGACTGCTCGCTTGTGTGCGCGCGTGGGAGGATGGAAAAGAAAAAGGGAAGGAGAGCGATCGAGTCCGCCATGTACGCCTTCCTTAATGCTCACGAGACAGTGCATGCGTGTGTATTTTGAACAACATCGATCTGTCCGGATGGTGGTTTGAAGGCAACAACAAAGTTTAAGCCCTTTTATCTCAGACCATATAGACGCACTGTTTCATGCGCTCACCGGTGGTTGGTGTCAAATGACATTTTCTCAGATAAAAGCTGCTTCTACAGTACGTCAACAGTTGGGGCGCTGTTGGTTATTGCTCTGAAGAAAAGGACTGCAATCATAAATCTACTACTGTGACTCTAAGATCTACACCTTCATGTTTTCATTTGCATGGCTTTAGTATATCTTTCTCACAGATGGCCCCTGATTTCTGCACCTAATGGTGATCGATCCTTCAACACAAAGACAATTCAACCAAATAATAATTGATGTTAATGTATAAGGTAGCATTTGATCATGCGCGTTCTCTAAGAAGGTACAAGCACATATACATATCATACGATTGCCTGATATAGCTAAAATGCCTAAAACACAATAATTAGGATCCAAGTCTCATATATATTATTTATATATGCAGCCAACAGGTAACGTATAGAATAATGTAGGATGTTTTCTGATCATTTTAAAGTTCAAATGCTGCTCTCGTCTCCTGTTTGATCGGTATCCTCCACAGGATTGTTGCTATGATCACCTGAAAATATGTCAGTTGACCATGGAGGAGGGCTGGGCACAGCCAAAGCAGGAGCCTGAAACAACGGACCTCCCCGGTTGCCGATTCTCCTGCTGAACTCGGTTCTCCGGTAAGCACCCATGGGCGACGCCATGGTCGGTGGAACGGGCAACCCCAAAGGGATGTCGTTGCAGGCATAACGGAGGAGGTCAGCATTGGCAGCGTCAAGCTCCTTCTGAAGCCTTTGGACCTGCCGTTGCAGGACGGAGATGGCACCGACACAACCGTACACCGGGTCCTTCACGCGGGCTTCCGCCTCGTAGGCCAGAGAGTTCACGGCGTCCTCCCGCTGGTGAGGGAGCAGCTCATTGAGGAGCTTGGCGACGTTGCTGGCCCCAAAGATCTTGTGGACATTGGCAAACTTGTGGGGCTCCTCCGGGGGGAAGTAGGGTGCGAAGATGCAGCCCGGTATGCACTTCCTCCTCAAGAACTTGCAGGCAGCGCAAGGGGAGTTGGAGGAAGAACTAGATGATGCCATGACCCACTGCACCAAAAACGATCAAAACGAAGAACAAGCTATTCTTTTGATTTCTATTTTGAGAAAGAAAACTCTTCTCATGGTCTGATCGGAGTTGATGACAAATAGCTGCTCCTTCAGGGCCTGTGATATTCAATGTCAAGGATAGATAGTAGGGTTTGAGGAAAGCGATTCAAAAAAAAAAAAAAAAAAGTAGAATGATTTAATTGGGAAGAATTGTTCGAGGAGATTGTTATTTATGTAAGAGATTTATTAAATTATTTATTCATTTTTTGGGAAGCTCTTTTAGACCTCATGAGACTGATCAGTAGCAGCATGTACCATGCTCAGCGAATCATCGCAGCTACCTCAGGCCAGAGTTGTGCACTTCCTCTCATGATTACGGTTATCATTAATTTACTCCAAAAACTATGAGCCAAGAGAAACAGAAAAGGGTACCGAACCAAGCAAAATCCTAGACATGATCTCTCTCTCTCTCTCTCTCTCTCTCTCTCTCTCTCTCTGTACGCGCAAATCACTGTTGATGAACACAGAATAAAGAGAAGAGCAGGTATACCTCTCTGAGATCTGGCGGAGGGATTTGATCAGAGAGGTCAGAAACTTTCCCCCTGGCCGAGCTAGCTCTCTCTTTCAGAACCGGCTGCTCCGATCAGTTCTTCCAGAATCCAAGCAACTGCTGCTGCTGCTGCAGTCGAGAAAGACTCGTGAGATTTTTGAGGCTTCTCAAATCGGTCGAGCACGAAGTCAGAGGTGTTGAGAGGGACAAGCAAACCCTTGTCTGGAGAGGAACGCTGTACACGCTGCAGCAAAGGGAAGACAAGGTGGAGGGGAGAAAAGAAGCATTAGTGCGAGAAGAAAGAATATGGATGTGGTAAAGATATATGCAAATAAGAAAAAAAAAACAATTTAAGTAATGTGGGAACGATCAAAAGGTGACCATCGCACTGTAGATTGAGAATGTCTGGTGTCGCTTCATTTCTTCTCATTCTAATCCCAACATAGTAATTGAATATATATATGTATACATATATATATTCAATTACTATGTTGATGTCCTATTCGTGGTAAGATGAATACATATATATCGACGCTGATTATTGCTTAGAGGACAGCAATGTATGAGTAGCTAAAGAAAAACTTGACTCGTCCGTCATTTTAATAACCACCAGCGGCTGTTGGTGAAACGTTTCTCTATCTACATATATCAACCATAAATACGACCGAAGACCAACCATCACTATATGATCAGTTTCTGTGCAACAAAAATATGTGATTCCCTGGAAAGGCCTAACACAGTTCGGACCTTCTTTTCTAAGATCAGATTGCACTGCTCGTTAGTGAAATAGATCAATCAAGCAGTATGGTTCTTGCTGGCCACGTGGGATCAGGGAAATGGTATCAACACACTTGTTCCGAACCATGCAAACAGATGAAGAAAACAGCTTCTTTTTTCTTATAAAAAATTATTTCTCAAGTATTTCGAGGACATCGACATTGGAAAACAGGAAGATGAAAGCAAAAGATGGCCTAAATAATTCCTTAATAAATGATGGTTGTTGGTGGTCTTGGGATGTTTATGGCAGTTCGTTATTTGATGTTCCTTTTGATTTATTGCAAGCAGTAGTCACAGGTTTCAAGAAATAAATCTTGTAATCTAATTAGTCCGCGAAAAGATGTGATAGCAGATCGTATAACATTTCATAATTAAACAAATACAGCGCATGCATGCATTGGCAATCATAAGTATGATCACACGCGAACAACATTGTGGATGGAACCACCAGTCCCCATGCATTTGTAAGAGATTGGTGCACACGATTCCCTTGTTCTTGTTGCCGTTCAGCCTCGAGACTCTTTTGGGCTACAGTAATGTTGATGAGACGCTCGCAGTGTCCCAATTGAGCGACACTTATGATAGCTCGTTGCTGATCAATGGGCACAGAGGACGAGCAAACAAACAAAAGCCAAGGAAAGAACTCGAGAGCCACACTCCGGTTGAAGTATAATTTCTTCCATTACTCGGCTTCCAAGAGAGCCCATCGCCGTATCTGATTCGGTTCCTTCCTCCCATCTCTGAAGATCTCTATCATGTCTTTACGGCAAAATAAACTAAAACACGAGCTTAATTATGGTCCATCTTCATCTCTCTCTCTCTCTCTCTACCTCGTCATTCTATCCAACTTTCTAAGACGGCCTACAGTGAGGTCATTCATCGCCAAACGTTTTCCAATTCCAAACATCAATAACAACGAGTCTGCTCTGTATTCTGTTCAAGAAAACTGTTCTCATCAATTCTCCATGCACTGCTGCAGGAGCATCTATAGCCTAGCTAAGAGTTGGCTTCATTATTCGAATTTAGGAATGATTGCGGCCAAATGAACTAAAACACGAGCTTAATTA